TGGCCACTATGGTATGTGGCAATGTGGGTGGTAACTTGTGGTAACTTGTAGTAAACAATGATGAAAATCGTAAATGACAGTTAGTATACTCCTACTATCATATATTCAACCTTCTTACTGTAACATCCCAAACCTCGGGCAATTTATAAGTCAATTCGGTTTGATGAGGAATCAAGAATTTCAACCATACTCGAAGAAATTGCGACCTCAACGAATGGTTTATGAAAATGACGAATATTCTGGAATGATGGATCAGATATTTCGAACAAATCTCAATTTCAAAAGTTAGAAAATTCTTCCACGATCACGTAGAATTTTACGGAACTAAGTTTGGATTTCAAACGAGTGAGATATGTCATTTTGAAGTCTAGACTTCGTTATTGAAATAACGTACGTACCGACACTGATTTGGGCACAACTTTTTCATTCGGAATCGAAATAAACGAGCCGTTTGTGGCCACAGGATCGTAGCCTCGAGGAGAACATTTCAAATTCAACACTTTGTAAGAAACGACAATAACAGAGGAAGTAAAAAAAGAACAGAACGTACCGGTATGTGAACTGTACATGAATCATTTGGTTAGATATATTATTGGTTATGGTATGGGTCATGGGAGTTGTAATGAACTGTAAACCTTATCGACAATGAGCTGCAAGGGTGGGCATCGGACTAATCAATTAGAGAGAGCATGAGTGAATTATTAGGGAAACAAGAGTAAAGATAAGTGGGCTCTCTACAAGTACTTTCTGCACTAAGTAAAGGCACGGCTGTAGAGCTTAAAAGAAAGGAGGAAGAGTCTCTTTTTCTTTAATCACTACACCACTACCATTACAGACCATCATATACGAACCAAAGAGAGTGTGAGAAAGAAAGACAGAAAAGAAGAAGAAACCACTCTTCTGTTGCTTGGATAGAGTAATATGGAGGTCCCAAAGCCATCTACGAAGTCAGAATTTCCATTGGAGGTGGTTAGAAGTCTCGTCGGAGTTTCGCCGGAGTTTCGTCGGAGGGTCGCCGGAAAAAGCAGGAAAAGGAACTTTAACCATACTTCGAAAGGTGGGTATGGTTGCGAAGAGGGAGATCCCAAGAGCACGCACGTTTCGACGAAATTGAGTTTCGACGTCGGACGAGGGAGAAACGAGCAACGGAAGTTTGACACAAAAAATTGTTAAGTTCAGGTACCATTTCTGGTAAATCAAAAAGTTAAAGGACCTCTCTGCACTTTCCAACAGATACGGGTCAACACCTTTTAGTTGACTGGTAAACTTCATATTTAGTCCCTGGTACTTTGAGTACTAACGGAATTCGTATTTCGTTCATAATTCGTTCGTTTGACGTCCAAACGACAAACAGGATCGTGAGAACGAGGAGAATATTTTGAAACCAAGATCTGAAATTTCCTGAGCTTTCACAGAATCGGATTTCGTCATAAATAAGGTGTGTGGGCTTACGGTAAAAGGGAACCGGAATTACGTGTTTATTTCTAAATACGCAGGATTGAGTTGATGATTAATGATTATGATGGATTTGTGATTGATTCATGATTGTGATCTTGGATGAAATTGTTGATGAAGTTAACTGATTTTTATGGTAATAATTATTATTAATCTCGTATTCGAATTGTTGACGTATATGGTGAACTCCGAATATTTTCTGAAAATGTCTATTGAGATCAGAATGAGGAAAGTAAATTTAAGGAGTTTTGAAATGGTTTTTAGTCATGAGATCTTACCATGAGAATGATATTATTGGTAATAATTGAGTTTTCGGAATTAATTGAAGTTATGACGTTAAAAGGGCGAAATTGGGAATTAATAAATTGAATGAGTATATGAGAAGTGAATTCTGGTTAGAATAATTAAAATAAAGAATTTATGAACTTTGTTGGAATTCTGGATGGATGAAACCGATTTCTATGTCATTTTGTTATTAAAGAGATTATATTACTATTTTTAGAATAATGGCGATGTAAGGGAAAATTATTATAAACTGAATATGATGGTAAGATGATTATCACGAGTTATTTTAACTAAGATTGAAATTAAGTTACATTTAAGAATATTTTTTAGTAATAGTTAATTGAGTATTTAATTGAAATATTAAAGATAATCTTATTAATGTATTTTGACGAACGATGATGTAGATTGTATTTTAAAAAAATAATTATTGAGAGATGTGTTATTAAGGGAGACCTTTTAAAATGAACTTTTGATAATCATGAGAATTATATATTGGGTATGGTCCTTTTTAGAATGGTTTCAAGTTATTAATATAAATTCATGAAAACAAGATTTTGATCATAATATGTTTAGTTGATATGTTGATGAAATTAGTTAATGAACGATATGGATAATTTGATGTATTTTTATGGTTATTATATGATTCGTATGATAAAATGATTTGATGACGAATAAAATATATATTGATTATTGATATGTATGATTATGGCATGATGATGATAATGACAGGGATATTAAGTGATAGTGATACGATTGACGTGTATGAGTATGACGTGATTGAAATATCGATTGGTATAAATGTGATTGGTAAATATAAATATTACTGAAATATTTTGTGACAATGTTGATAGGATGAATGGTTCGATTAATGATGATGTGGATGAGATATTACCATGATCGATTTGTATTTGATGTGTTAAATGATTACGATGAGTGAATGAGGTATTGATAAATTGAGTACTTGGTAGATTTGACAAGTTTGATTGAAGAGAATGAATTATTTATATCATTGAGAAGATGATGATTATATTGAGATTATGCAATGCATCAAAGTATGCATAGATGACGTGAGATATGCATGGACTGGGAATATCAATGGGACGCTGTTGATTTCTTGGATCGATTGAGATATGATGGAAGAGAGAAATTGATAATGTTTTATCATGTTAAATCACATAGACATAGAAGGGCCTATGCCTACCCCTATGAGATTGATTGGGCTCCGGTCCTAATGAAAGGATTTATGATCATCCTAGATTGGATGAGATTGTGGTTTTTGATATAACCACTAAGATGATGAGCTCGAGCGGGGTGGGCGTATGGTGACCTTAGCGCGCAAATTAATAATAAATGGAGAGTCTGCATTTCATGCATTGCATATGATATATATGATGGTGATGATTTCCATGAAGGAAATCGTAAAGTAATATTTGATTGATGATTGATTGAGAGATTGATATGGTTGCGCCGAAATGGTGATTTGATTATGGATGAATGATTGACATGGTTGATGATTAAATGATGAGTTGACTTTGAATGAAAGGTTGATATGATGGATTCATGAGTTGAAGTAAGTTTACGATTTTATGTCGATATACGACTTGATTAATGAAATTCATACCATGAGGAATTGGGTTAAAGATGAATTTGGATTGATGACCTAGAAATAAATGTAGAGATTAATGAGATTTTCGTGTGGCATGATAATTTGTTGATGATGTGTTTTTAATCAACAATATGTGATGATGTGATGACATGCTAACAATAATAGTTTTGCCGTATAGGCCAGGTCCACACACTCAGCTTAGTAGCTGACCCATTTTTCTTTCTAGATGTGACATGTGTGGTAAATTGAGGATGACTTTGGCACTGCACAATGATCGATGGAGGATTTTGGTTTAAAAGGTTTTTCACATATTGATGTACTCCAAAATCATTATTTTTACGATTCGGGTTTTGAGCATACATGATAGTTTACGTTAGTCAAATATGATCATTAACTTGAGTTGAGCATGAACGGAGTAGACGAGATTGATAGTCTGGGTTTGGTGAATCCGGAATTTGACGAAGATGGATTAATGAATTAAGAATATGATTTTAGTAAATTGTTATGATGAGTTGAATTTTTAAACATATGAGAATGATGTGAATGCGAGCTGAGTCGAGATTTTGAAAACGTAAACTCCGAGTGATTTCCACTGCGCGGTTGAACCATCGGTTCGACTCATGATTTTAGGGTGGGGTGTTACATTACCATATTGATATGTTCATACCATCATGGTACACTTTCTTACCATATGGTATTAGATATGAGCGTATCATATGGTAATGACTGGTAAATTTTTTTTCAATTTTTTTGTACTAAAAATATATCAAAGTGGATATCATTTTAAAGAGCACATTTAATCTTATTTATCTGTGCAAAAAGATATAAATTTCGACTTAAAACAAGAGAGAAATCGTCAGTTAAAGATTAAAGGAGAAAAGATAAAAGACTTTCCAAGAGAAAGAGTGATACTGATGTCATGGTGATGTGAACAGGTTACTCATGGTTACTAACCATAAGATTACTGACCTGATCTGTTCCGTTCCCAACCCAAGTCCCAAATATTTTAGTTCTTGCTTGCATTTCAGTCCCTTTAAATTTTTATTCCTACATTTCAATCCGTTACCTTACCATTGTCATGTAACTGGTAGAGGCTAGAGCTATTCTCAACGGCATGACTACACGAGATGGCCACACACGGAAGTTCTGCTGGAGATACAAAGGTTCGTCGGCTTGTCATCTTTCCGTTAGCAATCAATTTGTTAGAACTTCATTTGAATGACATTTATTGTCGATTAAATGAAGTATTTATCCAACCTTGTGTTCGTTCTGTATAATATAAGGTTTGTGTGTTTGTTACGTGCAATGGCATAAATGAAACCATATATGCAAATTGATATGGCCATGGAGGTGGTGTTGATAGAAAATGTGTCTAGTTGTATGGGAGAAAACGACGTAAAGTTGTAGGGACCGAAATGGTGAAGATGATAACTTGAGGGACTAAAATTGTAACTGGAAAAGGAAAGAAAAGACTGGTGTGATGGGGGGCGAAGGACAAAGGCCACCGAACGTTGACCTAAATTCTCAACCGGAAGAGATGACGAGGGCAGGAAGAAGACGAAAACCCTAGGAGCCGCGGATACGAATCGAAGCAACCAATCAACACAGAACAAAAAGGAAAGAAATGAAAATCTTGGGCCTGCGTTAAAATGTAATTAAATAATTTTAATTTATTCATTGAATGTCTCTCTCTGTATCGTCTTTGTTCTTTCTGTTCTGCTTCCTCCACCACATTCCTTCTTATTCCCCTGGCACATTCATTTCCCTCCTGAAGCCTACCTTTCCATTTCTGCACACCAAGAAATTATCCCCTACCAAACCTGACCTTTCTACCCGTCTATCTGGATTGGCTCTGTAAATCTCTGTCCTACAGAGACAATTGATTAAGAGTTCTTCAGAGGGATATAAAAAGGGCCTTTTTTTCCTTGTCCCTCTTCTGGGTTTCCCCTGTTTTTCTCCTTTGTTTCTTCTTTTAGTTCTTTCTCCCCGTTTTCCCGGAGCCGTTGAATTTGTGAAGTTGGGAGCTTTATTGATTTTCTGCACATATTTCATTTCTTCCCGTCCTTTGCTTTACTGGGTTTCGGCGTCTGTGGCCTCTAGTTATCTTGATCTTCCTTGGGCAGCTGGGGGTGTTTTGATTAGAATAGAATAGGAGTAAAAAACCCAACTTGTGATTTCTCCTATGGTCTGCCTTTGATTGCTTGTCTTTGCTGACTCCGTAGATCTGAAGAAAAAAGTTGCAATCGGGAAATGGGAAAGCCAACGGGGAAGAAGACTGCTCCTCAATCCCCCAGGACGCCCAGAGGCGATAGCAGCAGCAACAACGTTAAGCAGCTGCCCAAGAGCTCATCTGACAAGTCTTCCAAGGCCTTTGACGAGGACACAACAATCTTCATCAACATGGCACTGGAGCTCAAAGAAGAAGGCAACAGGCTGTTCCAGAAGCGTGACCATGAAGGGGCCATGTTGAAGTATGAAAAGTCCGTCAAGCTACTTCCCAAGAACCATATTGACGTTGCTTATCTGCGCACCAACATGGCCGCTTGCTATATGCAGATGGGTCTTGGTGAGTATCCTCGTGCTATTAACGAGTGTAATTTGGCTTTGGAGGTTTCTCCCAAATACAGTAAGGCCTTATTGAAGAGAGCTAGATGTTATGAGGCCTTGAATCGATTGGATTTGGCTCGGAGAGATGTTAAGCATGTTTTGACCATGGAACCCAATAACTCTGCTGCCTTGGAGATTCTCGAAAGTATTAAACAGGCTATGGCTGATAAGGGCATTAGCTTTGATGAACAGTCCATTGCTGCTGAGGAGGCAGAGAAGGTTGTTGGTGCCTCTCGTTTGCGCAAAGTTGTGAAAGAGAAGATAAAGAAGAAGAAGAAGGGTGATAAAGTAGAGGAGAAGAAGGCAGATGAGAAAGAGAAGGTTGTTGTGGAGGAGAAGAAAGTGACTCCTGTGATTAAGACGAAAGAAGTGATTGTGAAGACTGTTCAGGCGGAGAGACTGGTGAATAAAGAGGTTAAGGAAGAAGAGAAGCCAATTTCCAAGTCCGTGAAGTTGGTCTTAGGAGAAGATATAAGGTGGGCACAGTTGCCTGCGAATTGTACTGTTGGGTTGCTAAGGGATATAGTTCGAGACAGGTTTCCTGGCTTGAGAGGTGTTCTTGTGAAGTATAGGGACCAAGAGGGTGATTTGGTTACTATTACTTCCACGGATGAGCTGAGGTTAGCAGAATCATCTATTGGCTCACAAGGATCTCTCAAGTTCTATGTTGTTGAGGTCAGCCTGGATCTAGAGCCAGCTTATGAGCGAACAAAGACAGATGAGAATGCAAATGTTAGCAGTCAGGAACAAACTCTTGTTGCTCCTGAGAATGGGAATGGTGGGGTAGGAAGCAATGAGCCTCAAATCGAGTCTGCTTCCATCGATGATTGGATTATCCAGTTTGCACGATTGTTCAAGAACCATGTTGGTTTTGATTCTGATAATTATCTGGATATTCATGAACTGGGGATGAAGCTATACTCAGAGGCAATGGAGGATACTGTAACAAGTGAAGAAGCCCAGGAGCTGTTTGATATTGCTGTTGACAAATTTCAAGAGATGGCAGCATTGGCCTTATTCAATTGGGGGAATGTTCACATGTCAAGAGCTAGGAAGCGGGTCTTTTTCCCTGAAGATGGTTCCAGGGAGACATTACTGGAACTAGTTAAGAGTGCCTATGAATGGGGGAAGACTGAATACGTGAAGGCCGGAGAGAGATACCATGAGGCCCTTAAATTAAAACCAGACTTCTATGAAAGTCTTCTGGCACTTGGTCAGCAGCAGTTTGAGCAAGCAAAGCTTTGTTGGTATCATGCTATTGGTAGCAAGATCGATTTGGAGAATGGGCCTTCTGAAGAGGTGCTAGACCTGTACAACAAGGCTGAAGACTGCATGGAAAGAGGTATGCAGATGTGGGAGGAGATTGGGGAGCAACGCCAAAATGGAATCTCCAAATTTGACAAGTATAAATGTCAGCTAGAGAAATTGGGGCTGGATAATCTATTGAAAGAGCTATCACCTGAAGAAGCTGCAGAGCAGGCGGCAAACATGAGCTCCCAGATAAACCTCTTATGGGGTACTATGTTGTATGAGCGTTCTGTTGTGGAGTATAGGCTAGAGCTGCCAACTTGGGAAGAATGTCTGGAGGTTGCCGTTGAAAAGTTTGAACTTGCTGGAGCTTCTCCAACAGATATAGCAGTTATGATAAAGAATCACTGTTCCAATGTAACAGCTTTTGATGGTAAGTATGCAGATACTGACTCACAACTGCTAATTCGTCTTCATTTTTCTTTTTGTTCATGTGGTAGGACTTTAGAAATGTTGAGATTTTTTAGTAATTGAACTTTGCCACGTTTGCAGGTTTGAGCTTCAAAATTGATGAGATAGTACAAGCATGGAATGAAATGTATGATGCTAAGAGGTGGGAAATTGGTGTTCCATCTTTTAGGTTGGAGCCATTGTTTCGTCGTCGGGCTCCAAAGCTTCACTATATGTTGGAGTCATTTTGATACTTTATGTGTAGTTGGGCATTCTTGGAGTGTTGTTATACAGATTCTTCAGATTTTTTGGTGGTTCATCTTGCAAAAGGATTACACGTTGCTGCCAGTCAAATACAGGTAAGCATTCATCTGCTCATCTAGTAGCTTTGACCTATTGGATTCCGGCCATGCCACACCCTGTTCCTTTGCTTTCTAGCTGTCCTGGAAAAACTAATTTTAGAGTTGCGAGCAAAGGTACTGAGCTAGAGTTTAGCCGGAATTATGTGCTTGTATTAGTTCCATCAATATCCAAAATGAGGATGCTCTGATAGAAATCTGATATCAGTCGATGAACATGCTAACTAGTAGGGTTGCCTAGTTTATGTATTTGATTGCTTGAGCATAAAATATGACTTCAGAATATGCAAACTGGTTGCGGTTGAAACATCTTAGGTGAAGAACTCAACTATGAACAAACAGAGATTTTGGTGATGAAGTACTAATCTATCCACTGAAGAAAAGCTGTGTTTGTTGCTGCCTTCTGAAGGGAAATGGGTCCAAGTTAACTTTGTTGTACACCTGATTGATGATAAGTTCCACTTGATACTGGGTTGCGTTGAGAACTGTTACACGGGCCACAGGCTTTGAGTTTTTCTAGATTTAGAACTTTCGTCCCGCACTACTCTTCTCATTGGTGCTTTGTTGAGTCGACATTTGGTTATGCATGCATAAACAGCTTTCCGTGGTTTTCATCCGACTTCTAACCTAGTAATATCCATTTCTGCCCTAATAGCATTATCCCATTTATCTGTCAACATGGACACTACTATCTCTGGATGGTTTTTGAGGCATGGCTATCAACCCTTTTGCAGGACAGTAGATAAAATGAAAACAAAAACATTAGTCAGGTTTGTTTAAATATCTTGAAGTTGCAGATGTTAATCAAAATTCTTTAACTCCATGCTCTCCTGCACTACCATATATGGTTTCCTACTACTCGTATGGTTCTAGTATCTTACATTCCAAATCAATTAAATAACAGACGCTTCTGCAAATTATCGTAGCTGCTTCTAAACTAGCTTCGGGTGCCGTGGGGGAACTGACTGATGTTTTGTTTGTGATTGCAGGTCTTTTTTTTTTATTATTGGATTTGGAACTTGGGTAAGTTTCGCACTATTGTTTGCTCGTGGAGAGCGAATGATGGGTGGAGACTGGAGAGTTTGGTGTTGTGGGTTTTGGAAAGTTTTGAGCTTTGGCTCTCCATTTTTGGATTTGGGTTGTGAAGAATCAGCTCATGTTGATCACGTTTACTTCCATTTTTCGGTTGCTTTTGTTGTGGTTGCCTTTCTTTTTGGAGGGGTTATAGTGCAAGTGGTGTAAGTTAAGGGGTGGAAAAAATAGAAAGGGTATATGCTGTGATTTGTTCAACTGAGAAACAATAAAGAGTGGTGGCAAAGGGCAAAATTCGATTGCCATTTGGTATTTGTGATATATGTGGGGTTTGATGCGTGTGATATATATGGTTCAGATCAATATCTAATAACATAACCATTTGAGCAACAACATTGTTGGCTTAAAGCCACATTCTTTCGTTTGCGTTACTACCAAATACTATGAGGTAAAGATGGAAGTTGTAGCACAGCATCCACGCAATTCTCCTGCTTGAAGTTGTACATGAGAGAAACAAGATCAAAGCTTGTTGCCGCCATATTACTAGAATCGATCAACAGAAACAACGCTAACATGGCCTCATCCTATTCTCTCTCTTCTCCAGTTAAAGTCCCTTCATCACCTTGCCTCAGTAAACTACGATCTTCCTTCGTATCACATTCTTACTCACAAAGCCTCCCTCAGACAAAAGGCTTTCGCAATGCGTCGTGCATTGTCGTAGTCATTGAGTTCAACCAACATCTTCTTCAGGCGTCGAGCAAGCCCACTAGTCTCCCCCTCGCTCACCCCCAAAGCTGCCTGCTTCTTCTCCAGTGTCCTTCCTAATGATACCACAAAGTCCACCAGCACCTGCAACTTGCCACTGCATACAGACCATGTAGACAAATGCTCTAACAGAGTTCGTAAAACCCGAAGTGGAAATAAATCAGGTGTGCTTGTTTGAGCTTAAGAAAACGTTGCTTAGAAACAAGAAGACGGAATGAACATTTCATATGCCTATCAACTCGAGACTTGATTTTAGAATCTTCACCAGCAACTCTTTTTTTTAAAAACAAAGAGTCAACTGAAGCTGAAACAAACTGAGAAAAGACTGGAAGTACCTGCGATCCCCGGTGACATTTGGACCAGTCCAAACCCCGGATAAAGAAGCAACAATCCTCTCAGTTCTGGCAATCGCGTCATGAACGTCCGACGAAATGCTTTGAACATGAGGCAGGACCTTCCTGCACAAGAGCTCATCCAGAGCAAGCTCCTCTAGAACCGGCATCGCGAGAATATCCTTCCACAAGCAGATATTCCTCATCAAACGAACCGAGACTCCAAACCGATACACTGCTATTCGCGATGCACTGGGGACTGCCTTTAGAACGAGAGAGCTCCAGTTAGGGACCTACATCCAAAGCATGTAACCATTTTAACTTCAGATTCCACACACTTACACATAGACATAGGAAAATGAGTTATGATCATTTTAAGGACTCCAACATTTCAGAGAAGATATACCACAATGTTGGATGCTGTATCAGCAAGTCGAGTGCGAACTGCAACTAATAGTTCTGATAGAGCCTGACTTGAGGCTGGAACATAATTTATCACCATGCTTGTGGCAGCAACAGCATTTCCTGTTTCCAGGGTACTGAGCGTGTCCCAACAGTGGACGATTTGGTGATGCAACTTCGGGACAGCAATTTTTTCCACCAGTTGAGGAATAAGGTTGCTGTCAGAATCCTCTGAATTCAAATCAGATGCTCCCTCTGGTATACCATAGTTGAATAACTGAGAATGCCTGCACATGAAGTAAAGGACAACTGTTCAAAATAAATTAAAGGACTCGCAGAATGTATCTGTCACGTGGACTGCTAAAACAAACATACCCAAAGAAAAACCAGAAACTCAAACAAAATCAACCATTCCAATTGAGAAGTACATCTGTAGATACCAATTCATGTCAAAAAAGTCATCAGACTTGCGAAGAGGGTCCCAGTGAAGAAGCTCTAGTCTCACATAGGGAGAGAAGATTGCTGGTACACTGAGCGACATGTACGCATCCCGATAGCTCCCTGCATATTCCTGTTTCCATTTCTCTAATCTTTCTTTTACCACAGAAAGCTGGGAAAATTCCTCAGAGGCATCGCTCAAAATTTGATCCACTGGTTCAAGACACCTATCCCGACTCGACCGGTAAGCTTCACTCTCGCTCTCGCTCTCTTCAGTGCTTGATTCTCCTTCTATTTTCTGTTCAGCAGAGCTGTCATCAACTTCCATTGATGATGAAATTCTCTTTGAATCAAACTTAGCTCTCCTACGTTGACGGGCTTCAGCCCGCCGCTTCATCTCCATGCGCTTATACATGCTCATATCTCTACCCAGTTCATCTAACTCTGGTAGAATTGCTTTTTCTTGAACTTTCAAGGCAGCTGAAGCTGTATGCGCAGCACTTGCAGCAGCACTAATCATTAATGCAGAATGGCCACGTTCCTTGAAGACTAGCATTGCTGCTTTGACAGCTGTATCTACTCCCACCATTTCATCATGATCATCGGCAATTCTTCGTTCCAAAATAGCCGCTGCACGTTCCTCTTGAACCTTTTGCATTCGCTCTTCAAGCTCCTCTATATACGCAGCTTTATCCTGGAAAAGAAAGAGAAGGACAAAGACAACTAATAAGCATACGTATATCAAGCAACAGTCCCTGCCTCCTGATAAACTGCAACTAGAAACCAACAATAGATCAAGCACTGTAAAAATCAACAAATGCAGTAACAAGTACAAGTTTTACTGATAAAACATGCCCCTTAAAAGAAACTCCTATTTTCAGACCTCAAGCTCTAATCACAGGCCTTATTACAACTTAAAAGGCGTATCATTTGGTAAGCATCTTCAGATGTTATAAACAAGCTTTGCCCAGCAAAACAGAACCTCTCTTCAACAAAAATTATTTAAAAGGTATAAAATAATTCCTAAAGAGGCAGAATCTGTTCAGACTGAAGGATTACTCTTGGGATAGTCATGCCTGTAATAATTGGCTGAAGCCAAAATACTAGCAGAATACAGAACAAAAATAATTTAGCCATATATAGTCAGCACAAATGCTTAATTAAATGCTTTTGATGTATTAGAACAAATTTGGTAAATTCCACATCATTCTCTGAACCTTAAACTAAAGATTTTAGCTTCCATTTCCCCTCTCTCAGTGTCTATGCCAACACGGTTGAGTTCATAAAAGATATTAGAAGCATATAGCCCTAAAAATACAAGCCTCCTCTCCCTTCCTCTCATTGACTAAATAATATCACTACTTAAGAACTGACCAAGAGGACTTAAAATTCATCTGGTTCTCGCCATTCTCCACCTTGTGGAACAGTTACATATGCAAAATTAATTTGATTGAGTCGAAAGAAGAATCCAGTAAACTAACAAGCTGCTAAAGTCTAGAAGTATGTTCAACAAGATCAGATTGCAAAAATCTCCAAGTATATTCAGCAGTCACAAAGAAATAGAGGACCCATACCTGCAAAAAATCACATAAAACAGAAACAAAGTCACGAAGCCTTTGCATAAAGATGAACTTCTCACCAGCGACTGACAAGGACCCTTCAAGAGCAGTAATATTATCCAGCGAGGAAGTTAAGTTATCGTCAGTTCTTTCTAGTGCTGAAACAGTTCTATCATGAGATTCCTGCGAGACAGCAAGAAAGACAGGCAAAGTAACGATGGTCATCAAATCATTGCTCGTGCGTCAAACAGAGAGCACAGGCTGTAACTTGTAACCATCATGCCAAGTGAACACTTCTGCACAAAGAACAGAATGATAGCTAAGAATGGCAGACATACCTTTATCCTCCTGAAATTATCCTGCAATGCCTTCAAAGCAACTTCGGCCTGCTGTGGAATGGTCAAGTTATCCAACCCTTGAGATGCCATAAAACCTCCTCCAATGTTCGGGTACGCACTACTGACCCTATGCTGCTGCTGCTGCTGCTGCTGTGGTAGAGGTGGTGGCATCATCATCGTGGCAGTGTTATGAGAACTGACACCACCTGCAACAGCTCTATTAGTAGCACCAGCAGAAGCATCATCCATTCTCCTCCCCAAGGCCTTCCCTAACTGCTCTCGTTCCCAAATTTTGTAAGCTTCGTCTTCATCATCACCACCATCATTAGCAACATCTTCAACCACATTCGTATATCTGGCCGAAACAGCAGCAGACGGGGGAAGATGCTCGACATCCTCAAAGACGCCATGAGTGTTGCCGTCTTTCCTGCCCACCAAAGCAACACGGGTTCTAAGCTCAAGCTCGTCATCATCGTCACTCGACCCTTGAGCATCATTAGTAGGTCCATTGAGAGGGATGAAGTCAGGGGCAGAAGAACTGGAGTGCCTCTTCTTCTCCCTCTCAGCCTTAATCTTCCTGATTCTTTCCTCGTCAGGGATGATTCCGGATTTCGATTTCCCCAAACCCATTGACGCCAATCGATCTTCAAATGGGTCGTCATCATCGTCTGCGTTGTTACTATTAAGATGATCAGAAACATAGCGGTCTCCTAGGGTTTGGTGGGGGGAGGGAGGAGCGGGCTTGAGAAGGCCCTTGAGAATGATCTTAGGCTCAGAGGAGGTGGAGGCAGGAGAGGGCTTGGAGGAAGGTTTAGCGAGGGTGCGCGCATTCTTTTGGAGCTCGAGAAGGGCTTCTTTTGTGTAAGTCCCGGCCTGGGGAATGACATTGGAGGTGTTAGCCGGGGAGCTAAGAGGAACTCGGTCCTTGGAGGCGGTGAGCTTGTGGGAGGAAGAACTAGGTTTTCCCAGTCGAGAAGAAGAAGAAGCCGAAGAGGAAGGAGGTTTACGCCTACCAGAAGGGCGGGAAGAAAGATTAAGAGGTGTGACAGCGGCGGAATCGTCGTCTTCCCTTTCGTCGTCGGCGAAACTAAGAAGCTTCTTCGGCTTGGAAGAACCGGAAGCAGATGAAGGTGCCGCTGGCGCCGGTTTGCGTGAGGGATCAGGTGACGGGGCGACTGCAGCGGCGGCGTCGTCGGGATTGGGCTCGTCGTGGTCTGGTCGGCGGCGGAAGTTCCTCGATTTGTTGCTAGAGGAGCTCATGGTGCTTTCCCAGTTGATACTCACCGCTGAGAAGGCCGGCGAGGCGAACGGAGAACTCCGACCTCTCACTGGAGGTGGCTGGCGCACAATGATATGGTCGATTTCGAACGGGGATTAATGGGTAAATTACAGGTTTGGTCACCAGAATTATTATAAAAGTTCATGCTATTAAGATTAATTTATTACATCAATAGTCACTCAAATTAGTTACATAATCCAAGTTTGGTCATTGGTTATTAGTCTCCGTTAAGTTTTGTTTAGGTGACAGTCAACTCTCATAGTTGTCCGTTAAATAAGTGATGTAACAATTAAAAAAATAAATATTAATCTATTAAAAATTCCACCTCATTGCAACTATTAAAAAATAAAAAAAAATAACTTCTTGTATTCCTAGTTGTAACCTCCGCGGCAAGTGCAACCTTGTCGTCCCCGAACAGAGTCCCCGTCATTCGCCCGTCCTGTTTTTCTTTCCCTACACTCGGCGGCCACGACCTGGCCTTCACCATCTCCAGCTCCACCAACCACCTCATCAACGCTCTCCCTAACCAATACTTGGACCTCTTCAACGCCACCGACCTAGCTGGCAACTTCAGTACTACCCGTACATTCGCCGTCGAGTTCGACACCGTCCCTGATTTTGAGTTAGGAGGTAACGAAAACCACATCGGCATCGACATTCACAGCTTAAGGTCCAATGGTTCCGTTGCCGCTGCCTATTACCCTGACGACGGTGATGGCTCCACCCGAATTTCAAGTGTGGATTGATTACGACTCAGTCGCCAATCTCGTGAGCGTCATCGTTTCACCGGCTTCCATCAGAACGAGATGCCCAATCACGTCATTTCTAGTAGATCTGTCATCGTTTTTTGACGAATATATGTTTGTTGGCTTCTCTATCCACTAGGTTGCGCTACAGCTCGCATTACATTCTCAACTGGAGCTTTAAGCTAAATGGCCAAGCTCAGAGTTTGGATCTTTCTTCCCTTCCGTCAATTTCTGGAAGGAAGAATGCCCATAAAGGCTTAATAATTGGTTCCTCTGTTGCGCCGTGATACGGATCGAAATTGTATAAATGGAGGGATCCCTTTTCTTGGCGGGATTGAGCCAGGCTCTCTTTTCTTGGCGAGAAATACCAGATGGTTTCTACTTTGGAATTGCTTGCCTTATTCCATTACTGTCAAAAGCCTTTATAGGCAAAGATGAAAGACACATTGTTCACAAGAATAGCTAACAACGGCTACTGATCCTAACTACTCTCCCCACTTAAGGTGGAGGGGTTTATTCCACTACTCATAACAACTAACAATCTGAAGGACTCATTCAAACAACTAACAACTAAGAATTTAACGTTGGCAAGCTGCTGCAAAACAGAACTGCGATCCTCACTCGTTCCTGTAACGTGGGTTTGGCTGAGGTACTCTAGCGGAGCGACGTGGCCCAATGAAAGGCCCATCATTACCCCCCCGTTGAGCAGGGGACTCGTCCTCGAGTCCGAGATGGAGGTAGCGATCATTAAAAACAGAGGCGAGTTCCCAGGTGGCCTCATCAGCTGGAAGTTGCTGCCATTTTATCAGAAGCTCCTCAACCACGCGGCTGCCACAACGTGTCCAGCGAGTGTCAAGAATGGCTTGCGGCTGGAGAAGTAAGAGACCATCATCCCCAACGGGAGGAATTGTAGTACTCAAAGTCGGGGCTGGAGTATGACAAGGCCGGAGTAGGGAAACGTGGAACACCGGGTGAATACGACTGCCCGGGGGAAGAGCGAGACGATAAGCAACAGGACCAATACGTTCGGTGATGAGGTACGGTCCGAAATAGCGACAAGCGAGCTTCTGTGAAGCACGGCGGAAAACAGAATGCTGGCGATATGGATGGAGCTTGAGGTATACAGGGTCGCCGACCTGGAATGCAATGTCGCGGCGGCCGGAGTTGGCGTGTTGGCGCATGCGGTTCTGGGCAGCAGTGAGGTTGGAGTGCAATTCCTCCAGAACAACATTCCGATCAAGCAATGTCTGCTCAACCTCGTGAACAGACGTGGAGCCGGGACGGTAGAAGGGGATGGAGGGTGGAAGGCGCCCATACAAAGCCTGAAAGGGGGTCATGCCCGCCGAGCTGTGGAAGGTGCTATTGTACCAGAATTCGGCCCAAGGAAGGAACAACAGCCATCGGCGGGGGTTCTGGTTGGTGAAGCAGCGAAGGTATTGCTCAACGCAACGATTGACAACTTCCGATTGCCCATCAGTTTGTGGGTGATATGAGGAGGACATAGCCAGTGACGTGCCGGAGAGGCGGAAGAGCTCGCGCCAGAAACGGCTGGTAAAGGTGGCGTCACGATCGCTGACGATTGAACGCGGAGGCCCATGGAGTTTGATGACCCCAGCAACAAAAGCATCAGCCACGGAGCGGGCAGTGTAGGGATGAGACAGAGGAAGGAAGTGCGCCGATTTGGTGAGACGGTCAACCACCACAAGAATCACTGTCTTGCCACCGGAAGAGGGAAGGCCATCAATGAAATCCATTGTAATGTCCTGCCAAACTTGGGTTGGAATAGGAAGGGGTTGGAGAAGACCTGCTGGGGAAAGAGCCTGGGATTTCGCACGCTGGCATATATCACAAGCTTGGACAAAACGCTTAACGTCCTCAAGCATGGAAGGCCAATAAAAATGAGCAGCCAACCTCTTATAAGTGCGTTCGATGCCGGAGTGGCCGCCCATCGGCGTGGAATGGAATTCGTGGAGCAATTGGCCGACATGGGAGGTGTTGGGAGGGATAACGAGTTTGCCGCGACGGAGCACCATATTGTTGCGGATTGTGAAGGGTCCTGGTGAGGCAGAACTGGCCTTGGTGCGCAACTGCTGCATATATGGGTGAGAGGCGGCCGTGGATTGAATGGACTCCCATAGAGTCGTGAAAGGCATGGAGAGTGCAAGCAACGAGGACTCCTGTGGCCGCCGACTAAGTGAATCCGCAGCCTGATTGTCGGATCCGGGTTTGTAGATAATTTCATAATCATATCCCAACAATTTCGATAACCATCGTTGCTGCTCGGGAGTTGTGATCCGCTGGCCCAACAAGTGCTTGAGGCTTTTTTGGTCGGTCCGGATAACAAATCGGCGGCCCAAAAGATAGGGGCGCCAGGCCTGAACTGCCGTAGTGATGGCTAGCATCTCCCGTGCATAAGTAGACAGAGTCTCCTGAGATTTGCCCAAAGCTTTGCTGAGGAAAGCAATGGGTTTGTCCCGCTGCATCAAGACGGCGCCAAGGCCCGAGCCAGATGCATCAGTTTCGACCACAAATGGTTGGGAGAAGTCGGGCAACGCGAGAACCGGAGTGGTCGTGAGGGCCTGTTTGAGAGATTGGAAGGCAGCCTGCGCCTCGTCGGACCAAACAAAATTCCCTTTCTTGAGGAGGTTGGTGAGTGGTCGAGCAATGAGGCCATAGCCTTTAACGAACTTACGGTAATAACCGGTAAGTCCCAGAAAACCGCGGAGCTCAGTCGAGGTGGTCGGGGTAGGCCATTGTACCATGGCCTCGATTTTGCGCGGATCAACCTTGACGCCGGACGCGGAAATGAAATGACCCAAATATTCGATTTCCTTTAACCCGAAGGCACATTTGCTGAATTTTAAGAAAAACTGATGTTGGCGCAGGATATGGAACACTTGACGAACATGCCCGAGATGAGATTCCTTGTCGGGGCTGTAAATCAAAATGTCGTCGAAAAAAACCAGAACTGTCTTGCGAAGTAGGGGCCTGAAAATATCGTTCATGATAGCTTGGAAAGTGGAGGGAGCATTGCAGAGACCAAAAGGCATTACCAAGTATTCATAGTGGCCATTGTGGGTACGAAAAGCCGTCTTTGGAACATCGGCGGCATGCATTCTGACTTGGTGATAGCCTGCCCGAAGATCAAGTTTGGTGAAGTACGCAGCCCCGTGGAGTTCGTCGATCATATCGTCCACGGTGGGAATGGGAAAACGATCTTTGATGGTCACCAAATTCAGTGCGCGATAGTCGGTACAAAAACGCCATGAACCATCTTTCTTCTTGACGAGGAGTACCGGAGATGAAAATGGACTAGTACTCGGCTGAATAAGGCCAGCAGACAGCATTTGATTAACCTGGGATTCAATCTCATTTTTCTGAAAATGAGCGTACCGGTAAGGACGAACGTTGACTACGTCAGCGCCGGTCTTGAGTGGAATGGTGTGCTCTATTGCACGTGATGGAGGTAGCTGGTTGGGCTCTTCAAATAAATCTCCAAACTCACGAATGAGTGCGTGCAATTCCGGAGGGACACTGCGAAGCGGATCGGGTGCTATTGGTGGGGAAATGCAGAGGGCCATGAGACTTGCATCTTCTTTGAGAATGCACTCAAGACTAGCCTCTTCTGGAAGAGTGCGCTTGATGCCATGAATTCGTTGGAGCTGGCCATCCCAAAAGAATTCCATTTCCAACGTATTCCAATTACTCTGGACTGTACCGAGCGTCGCGAGCCACTGGACGCCGAGGACGACATCGAATCCGGACAAGGGAATGGCGTGGAGGTGAACCGGATACGTTGATCCTTGGATACGAAGAGGGACCGAGTCAAGTCGACCTTGACTAATCAGTGGGCTGCCGTCGGCAATTTTGACTTGTAGCGGGGGACTTGACGTGATGGGGTGGTGTAGCCGTTCAGCGGCGCGGGTGCTGATGAAGTTGTGGGTTGACCCACTATCGATGAGCACCATGAGTCGAATCCCGGCGACGTCGGCCCAGACCCGAAGTGTGCGCCCGTTGGCCCAGCCCGTGATTGCATGAAATGAGACTTCAGCCTCTTCTGTGTCGTAGTCGTCGTCTTCTTCGTCCCACATCATCCATAGCTTTCCCCCTGGACAGCGGTGCGTAGCGGAGTATGGCGCGTCGCAATTAAAACATAAACCCAGCTGGCGGCGACGATGCATCTCTTCATAGCTCAGGCGTTTCGAACCCGGTGGGCGAGGGCGGGGATTGCCGGTTCCCGCGACGGGAGGGCCGGTCGGAATTGCTCCGTCGTTCCCCACAGGCGGCCGATTCCGTGCTGGGAAATTGGCCTCGAAGGTGGTTCGTGGCTTTGGCCGCGGTGGAGTTGTATAATCCATGGCCGATCGGAACGGTGGTCGCGGAGGGCTGCTGCGGCGATTCAATTGCTCTTCTCGTGCCCTAGCGAGATTAACAGCATCTTTAAGGGTTGTGGGATTAAAAATTCGGATTCCATCAGCAATGGAGGGTTTGAGACCTCCCAGGAAAGTGCCCACAAGGGCTTGTTGTGTCCAGCCATGAACGCGATTGCCTAGACGCTCGAACTCCGTAAGGTAATCCTTCAAATCACCCGTCTGGCGAATGCGGGAGAGGGCCTCATCAAAGCCTGTTCCAGCTGTCTGTCCAAAACGAGCCCAGAGCTCCGAGGAGAACGTATCCCATGTGATGTGGAGGCCCTCCGTACGATAGGTTCGCCGAAGCCACTGCCACCATTGATTGGCGTCGCCCTCGAGATGGTACGAGGCGAGGTTTACCTTCTGATCTTCCGGGATGGCTTGGAACTCAAAGAATTGCTCAACTCTCGAGAACCATACGGTAGGATCGTCGCCTGCGAAAGTTGGAAATTCCAAGCGAGCCAACTTAGCCCCAAAGAAGGGTTGGCGTTCCGGATCCTCCACCTCATCGACCCGTGGTCGGCGAGGCCGCCCATTGACGGATTCATTGACGGATCTGTCCCCATCGTCGGTACGTCGATCATCAGC